TGTACCCAAAAACTATTTTGCTCGTAGTCAACACCCAGCAAATTTTTCACCCTGGTTCTATTAAGACTAAAAAGGACCATGCTCTAGAATTCTAGCAACTACAAATGCAACAACCACATACTTCTCCCGGTCAAAACCAGAAAACAACTGTCTGAAAACACTACTACATTATTATTGGAAGTCCTGGCATCACCCTAAGAGCTTTTTACTAAAAACATTGCTTGATGACAAACTTTGGGAAGCTTTGAAAGACTTGGCTTACTTCATAGTTTAATCTGACAACAGTCCCAAAAAAAGGGATTTTTAGTGTGCTTCGTAAGGCTTTTTTAATGCCGTCTTGTATTTTTTATTTGCATTTTCCCGAGGTTTTATGATAAACTAAAGGGACTTCTATAATAGTTTGGTGAGTACAACCTCAACAGTAAGGTGCAGAACCATTAACCTTCTCCCCCCCCCTGATGGACCATTTTAACCCCCTTTCATGGCAACATAATTGTCAAAATTAAAAATTTTGGGGTGACTTAATGGTAACACTGATGAAATTTGCTGCGGGAAATTTCTGAAAATCGGGGAACTTTTCCTTCTGACTTTTTCCGGGGGCTCAATTATGAGCTACATGATAACTTTAGTTACTTGCACATTGTTTGGTATCTTGTTCTAAAACAAGCATGACCCCAGACTATCCGAATCTTAGACAAATGCACTTGTCATCATAATTAGATCAAGCCTTCACATCAGTTTTGACTGTTTTTCCCCTGCTGTAATGCTGATGATCCAATACAACTGTGGGGATTCCAGGTGGCCAATATGACAATGCTTTTAAATAGAGAAAAAAGGCAAGACCCTATATGTGAAGTATAAAAATGCAAATTAGTTATCATATTGAAAAAATTGCCTTAATACCAACAGAAAATTAAATTAATCTGGCCTAAAATCCACCCAACATTAAAAAAAAGCACAGTAAGAGCCAATTAAAATCTAGAATAATCAAACTTATTTTTAATTTTAAAAGGAAAAAACTCCCCACCACAAAGAATATTTTCACTAAAAAAATGTTCAACACAAGACAAAACTTCCTGAAAGTACAAGCATATAGTACAATAGAATAAGAAACATAATTGATATTCAAATGTGGAAAAACGGGTTTTGATCCCCCCCAAAATTTAAGATACTAAGAAGGTTTATAAACCTGGAGGATTTCTTGGAGAGATCCAAACATCGGGGGACACTTCAATCTGGCAAACATGAGACACTAAAGTTTTTTTCGTTCAGTGATATTATAAAACATTTAAAAACCTGTCTCTCTGCAAAGTAAAGACTCTACTGAAGTTCAAAAATCACACAGAAAATTTTCTGACGGGAAAATACAGGAAAATTCATAATTCTAATGATAAATTAAAGATATACACAGAGGAAAAAAAAAAAAATTTCTCAGATCTCATTGGCATGGGGTTTTTTGGAAGGGATTGACCACGAGAGGCCATCCCCAGTCCTGTAGAAAAATGCAAATATTTAAAAACAATCTTAAAAAGGGTACTGAAAATTTATACCCCGGGGATTTTTGAGAAACTGAACCATACAACCATTTTCATTTATTAAAGTGGGAATGCAAACAATATGTTATAATAGCGGGATTTTCATACAGCAATCCTCTCATAATGTAACCCCCACACAGAATTATGATGAATGTGCAACCACTGAAAATGTTGTGTTGATAATAAAGTGTAAAAGTTATTTTAAAAATAAGATGCATCATAGTTGCACCCAGAAGGGGGCAAATATGCAAATACATAAAAATCAACTACCTTAAAATTTTTCCAACAATTTTTATAAACAAAATATTACTTTTGGGCCCATCAGACTAAAGTAAAATTAGTCAGAAGAGCTATGTAAATTTTAAAAGCTAGTTCTTTTTTCTTTCACACACCGGGGCCGTTTTTCCCACCACTGGCCCCCAAAAGGAAAAAAAATTTCTCCCATTTGTAAATTTACAGGGAAACCCTTACCAGTTTTAAACCTTCCTACCCCGCAACGGATTGCATTTGCAAAACAACCTTTTAAAACTGAAAACAAAACCATTCCTAACTTCTCCAAAACTCGAAAACAACTCGGCTTTTTAACACCATTTTCCAAATGAAAAAAACAAATATAAATAACTAGCCTAATATACTCTAAAAAGGAAAAAATTTCATTTTGAGTGGTAAAGGGGAAAGGTCCTAACGAAATTTGTCCAGACCGGGCAAAAAAATCACAATTTAATTTCCTAATATCATTTACCTTATTTATCTATCCCTTACAAAATGAATAAAAAACAAAATAAAAAAATAGAAAAAGGGTATATACTCAAAGAATAAAAATGTTTATGTAAAGGGGAGGGGGGGACAACCCGCCCCTTTTTGGGTAAACAACCAACTATACGGCTTTTAACCGTCAAAAATTTATAATTATTTAATTTTGACATTATTATTATTTTTTTTTTTAACAAGTCACCTCTCCCACCGGGGGCAAAGGGTTTTATTATTATAATACATTATTTTTAAATTAGATTATATTATTAAATAATTTTATAAAATTATTTTTTAATTTTTATTTAATTAATTATATAAATTAATTTGTAATTTTTATTCACACAAAAAATATAAAATTTCCATAATTCCTTATGCAATAATTGTTTAAATAAGTCAACCCATTCATGACTGCATATTGGAAAGGACAGTGATATCATTTGTTTACTCTGAAATAGTCAAGCAATGGACCATTTCAAGTACTTTTCGTCGATGAAAGCAATTAAAATCATATCTATTCCTGTAATATATCTCCATTCTATCAAATGAGACCAAAAAACGGGAAAACAACTCCATTATTTATGCTTAGATTTCTTTCATTTTTGGTGTACGTTAAGAAGCATCTTTCCATCATACATTACCCAAGTTTTCAATAAGATAGTCCAACAAACAAATGAGATACAATTCCCGAGATCAAGAGCAAGAGTCCCTCACCAGTGTCAAATCAAATCAAAGTTTATTCTCTATGAGGATTACAATGCGGGTTTTGCAGATTTTGGTTATTGTGTGGTTTACATGTAATAAAATACTAATTACAGAGGGGCCACTAGAACACCTAGCAAGGCTAGGCATTTCAGGCAAACTTAGATTAATTCTTAACCCTAAATTATTACAAATTGTGAAGTAAGTTGACTAAATACTAAGTGACTAAAGGAACCTGCTTTGAGGTCTGCTCGCTTGTGGAAATTTTGCTCGCATATGGAAGCAAAAAATCGACCCATCGACTGCTCGTATTTGGAAAAACTCGCACGTGGACACTCACAAGTAGAGGTTCCACTGATATACAGGAGAAGGGGTTACTAGCCCCTTGCTCCCGGCATTTTAGTCGCCTCTTACGACACGCATGGCTTACGGAGGAAGAATTCTGTTCCACTTCCCCATGGGATAAATGATAGTTATGGAAACATATTTTAGAAAAACCTTCATTGGTATAAAATGAATTTGATATAATGTTATGTATTCACAACTGCTGACTCATGACACTTAATAAATCCTACTGCTGATGAAGGCTACCACAGTACCTTTTTTTGTCGACTGGTCGAGAAAGTTTTTGTACATCCTTCCACACTTCATGTTTCTTCATCCTCAAGATGTTATTCAAGAAGTGATCCTCCAGTATATCCAACTGAGGGAAAATTTTACTTTTATGTAACCAACTGTACAAATTATAAAGAAATATAAAAGCAAAATGAACAATTAAAGATCAGATAAAAATAAAAAACTGCTGTGAGAAATTAAAACTTTATGAAAACTAATGTAACCAAACATTTAATCAGGGTATCAATTCTAGATATATTTTAAAACTGTGATAATAAGAGCAGTAAAGTATATTAACCCTTAAACTGTCCAAACGTAGATCTACGTTTTTTCAACATTTGAAAGTATGTAAAAAAAGTAGATTTTTTTTTTTTTACATTTGAAAATGTGTAAAAAATCTGATCTATGTCTTTTTTTTTTTTTTATTATATTTGAAAATGTGTAAAAAAATGTAGATCTACTTTTGGAGCACTATGCATGTGAACGTATCTGCCTGGACAGTTCAAGTCAGATCAAATCAAATCAAAGTTTATTCTCTATAAGGATTACAATGCGGGGTTTACAGATTTTGGTTAGTGTGTGGTTTACATGTAATAGAATACTAATTACAGAGGGGGCCACTAGAACACTTAGCAAGGCTAGGCATTTCGGGCAAACTTACATTAATTCTTAACCCTAAATTATTACAAATTGTGGAGTAAGTTGACTAAATACTAAGTGACTAAATACTAGTTTGTGACTTTAGCTATGTGAATGCTTTTGTTTTGGACAATACATAGTTTCTATATTGGAGAAATCACAGGCAAACTTGTGACTAGTTAGGAATCATTATTTTAAGATTAAGATACGTATTTCTGTGCTTATAGTCAAATGGGTGAGTGAGTGAGTGAGTGAGTGTAAGTGTGAACCACAAGGTGGTTTTTACGTAGTTGTCGACGGGGTGTACAGGGAGATAAAAATTTTTTCCCTAACGTAGTTTTTGAAGGTGATGAATGTGTCTGCAGGGTTAAAAGAACTATAAAGCTATTCTTCTTCACTAAAATTAAGCATTCTTACACGATGTCTTTCACATCCTGTGAATTTTCATAGGATGAGGCATTTAGTCTCTGGTCTAATCTGCTTAATACCATAATAAATGTAGAAGGGAAATATGTAGAGGCTGTTTTGCACATCTGGATGGGGATGGTGTAACTGCCATTGTCCATGTCTTCCAGTTTACTGACAATAATAATGGTCAATACTTGGACTAGTGCCCAACTATTACAGTTCTAAGAAAACATAAAAAGGGAAGAATAGATGTGGTAGTGATTCAATTATACTGGATCACAATCCTTAAAAGATTTTAGTATTGTTTTACTAAGACATTGTTATGAAAAGTCACAGGAAACAAAACAGTGCACATACCCCTTCAAATTCAGCATCCAAGAGCTCAGTGGACTCTATATATTCTGGATAGCCAATTTTCTTCCCCATTATATCTAGCTGAAACACAAGAGCCCCACACAAAATCACAAAATATCATGATTAAATTACTTACAAAAGAAACGTCACAAGAATTCATAAGATAGTGAATATTGAACTCTAATAGCGCTGTATAGCCCTTGTAGTTTAGCACTTCTTTTTGATTATAATAATAATAACTCTAATCCCAATATCAACAGCTCAATGAATCACTTCATGAAATGATGTAGTATTTTAAAAATACAGTGGACCCCGGTTAACGAACTTTTTTCATTCCAGTAGTATATTCAGGTGCCAGTACGGACCGAATTTTTTCCCAAAAGGGAAATATTGTGAAGTAGATTAGTCCATTTCAGACCCCCAAACATACACGTACAAACCACTTACATAAATACACTTACATAATTGGTCGCATTGGAGGTGATCGTTAAGCGGGGGCCCCACTGTACTGTATTTTTCATGAAAAATATCAGTCTTTTTTATATAAGGTAAACAACTATTTTATTCCCTTAATCATGCATAATATGAAAAACAGTTTTTTTACAAAGTGCTAAATTCAGATGACTTTCAACATACCTTGTCACTGCAGACTTGCTTCATCTCCTGCTCGAGCCAGTCCTGGCGTCAATTACCAAGTGAAAGGCTGTGCGCACTTCCTCACCAGGTCATCAATCTGTAGTGAAAGAAAACTAGCTTATCCTTTCAGAGAACCATTATGTTTTAGATATACTGAATATTAGTGTCATATTAAACTATTATCTTCCCCTTTTCCCTAACCTCATGGTAATACCTATCTAAAAAATTTTTTTTAATTAAAAGGAAAAAAATATATGTTTAAAAAGTTTATAAGAGGATGAAGTTGATGTCTAGTGTGCACATCCAAACTGGGGCCCAGGGTAGAAGAGTGAGCTGTGAAGACATTACAAGAGCTTGATCTGCTGTCCCCGATAGAACATGACCAACATATGAAGAACTCCTGGGCATAGACAGGGCAAACAAGGAAAATATCTTATCAAAGGAAAAAGAACAAGGGATCACAAAAGGAAACTGCACACAAGTGAACCCCCGAGACATTTGAAACACTTCTTCAATTAAAAGTAGTAAAGTGGAATGTGCTACACTATGATATAGAAAAAGCAACTCTTATGAAGAGTTCAAAAAACAAATACAGTGGACCCCTGACTTACGAACAGCTCCCAACTCGAACAATTATGTAAGTGTATTTTTGTAAGTGCTTCTGTAAGTGTATTTTTGGGGGTCTGAAACGGACTAATCTAATTTACAATATTCCTTATGGAAGCAAATTCGTTTTAGTAACGGCACCGAACAGCCCTCTGGAACGAATTAATATCGAAGTCGGGGTCCACTGTACTGGACAGCAGAACTAATTCCCATCAGTTAGGTGAAGGTTAAGAGGATCCAAGAGCTGGAACTGGTGCTCCACAAATCCAAACAGACATGATAATAAAAAGGTCAAAATGTTATACAACACAATACTGTACAATCCACATCACATAGCACGGTAGACTGCAGATTAAGATGGAATTTATGTTTCTCAAAATGGCATCTAATTAAAAAAATCATGTAAAATGAACTGAAGAAAATGTGGGAAAAATAGAGTTACATTCCTTTGATTCCCAAAAATGTTTCAAATTTGCTATCAAAAATAAACCTTACATTTTTGATAATGTTGCTTTTTGATCTAGAAATGTATATTATTTACCCAAATCCTAAATAAAAACTTAAGTTACTAAAGCTTGTTTAAGGTGTTTAATAGAATATACTGTCAATCCTTCCAGAGATGGCATTCCATCCAGAGAAAACAAAGAAAGCTAATATACCACCAGTGACTATTATAAATTTAAAACACACTCTTATCAGCATAAGTGTGTGTTTTAATTTATAACAGTCAGTTTTCCATGCTGAATGGCTAGACCTCCAAATAATAGATCAAGGACTTTTATCCTTATATTTTAAAAGCATGGGCAGTTTGGCAGGGGTTGTTTACAGTGGCACCTTGGTTGCAAAAATTTAAAATTGTCAATCTAGCCAAACCAACACACCACACTTGTTCAGGCTTCCCTTATTTACATGCTGTTTTAAAAGTACCAAGGCTTTCCTCTTTATTTTGATGGAGTTAAGTGGTACACCTTTCCTGGTTTTTCTGCTCAATCCACTCATTCAAAAATCTTTCATATTTAGCTGTATGACCTGTGTCCCTTCTATTCAAGAGGGTTTCAACTTGGGTTACTCACTGTACACGTTCTTATCTTTGCCTGAATTCTTTTAATTGTACGAGGTGATGCTTCATTCAGACCCAAAAGGTTCATGCCATCTCCGTCACACATGATACACTTATACTTCCAGCACTTTTCCCGCATAACTCTCATTCCTCTTGGGTGTCATGGCTACCATCCAGAGACGAGACGGGCTGACAAAAAAGGGAAAATTTATTCACGACACA